AAGGCCCCTGCGCGCCCTCTGGCGGCCGCCTAGAGAATCCCGCGTTCCGGGCAGCCCGCGAAGGAAACTGCGCTCATTGTTCAGCGGAGCCCGCGCGCCCCCTGTTGGCAGACTGGTGAATCACCGGAGTTCTCCATGGCCCAGATCCACTGGCTAGTGGCAGGAGTGATGCTCTGCTCCATCCGGCCTGCTCTCTTGGCGGGGACTCGCCTTGGACCGGTAGCCTAGGAAAAACGGAAATCCTCATGCTGTTGACGCAGCTGGCAAGTATCCCCTCTCAGTCATGCCTGAATGACAGAACCGACTTCAGATTTCCTGGGGAAACAGAGACTATCACCCATATTGAGAGGACACAGGGAATCTGTTTCCACCAGGAGATGCTCCAGCAGATCTTCAACCTTTTCAGCACAGAGCATAGCCGTGCTGCTTGGAACAACGCTCTCCTCAACCAGCTACTCTCTAGACTTGATTACAGCCTGGAACAGCTGGAGCAGATGGAAGAAGAAAATCTGGCTTGTCCCTATTTGGGAATTGTTGTCCGGGAGTACTTTCAAGGAATCCATCGCTATCTGAAGGAAAAGAATTTTGGCCCCTGTGCCTGGGAGATTGTCAGAGTGGAAATGCAAAAGTGCCTTTCCCTCATGTAACAATCTTCAAAGAAAAGTCAGCAAATAAAGAAGTTAGACTCGTGACTGACTCCCTAATCAACTACATTATTGTTTGCTAAGCCCCACCAAAGCAATCTCGACTCATATTTCTGCACCAGCTGAAAAATACCTGAAACGAAAATCATGAGAATATTTAAAAAATGTATTGTGCATTATGAAGTCACAAAAATTTCTATGGTCTATTTTCTTAAATAAACAATTTTGTGACCACTTTTTGAAATTTATTTAGGGTCTGGAGGGTATTTGCTGTTCCCAAAGGGTGAAGTTCATTTTCTTATGGAAAGATTCTTCAGGATAGTATATGGTTAAAGATACTTGTCAGTTACGTTAATGCTCGCTGCTGTAATGGACAAACAGAAAAGTGTAATTTGATCATAACAGAAATTTATCTTTCCTTCACGTAAGAGCACAATGCAGGCACTTCTGATTAGATAAATCTTCTTTTCTTTTTTGTTTTTTCTTTTTGCTGAGGCAGATTCACCCTGAGCTAACATCCGCTGCCAGCCAATCTTCCTCTTTTTATACGTGAGCCACCTCCACAGCACTGCCACTAATAGGTGCGTGGTGTAGGTCCACGCCCAGGAACCCAACCCAAGCCACCAAAGCAGGGCATGCCAAACTTAACCACTAGGCCACCAGGGCTGGCCCAGTTGAATCTTTTTGTTGACTCTTCTCCAAACAGTGATTCAGGGACATGGTACCCTCTATTTTGTGGCTTAGGCATGTTCAACGTGTGACTCCCAATCTGTCTGTGGTACTTGAGTCTATTCCACTCGGTTGTAAAGAGAAAAAGGAAGGTGGATCACATGGGATGTTTTCAGGGGCCAGGCCCGTACAGCGCAATATCACTTCTGCTCACATTAGTTGGCCTGAATTTCTTCTCATGGGACTTCTAAGTGCAGAGAAGTTGGGAAATAGACTCCAATCGGGTGACTGATGGAAGAGGAGACAAGTTTAGTGAAGAAGGCCACTCTCCATCATTGCACTCTTTAGACTGATGCTTTTTGAGGGGAAAAGAATAATAAATATGTTTTCTGCAAAGACTTTATGTAAAAATAGAAAAATGACCCAAAATCTGATTCCACCATTGAAACCTGGGGAGATGAC